TCCCATCAGGAGGCCGTGCTGCTGGGGGAAACGGGCGCGATCCTTAATAACGACAACGCAGCCGTGTTGTTCTGCTTTAGGAGCAGCAGCGTCTTTAACTCCCGTCTGCGTATTTCTCTCAATTCTCCTTCCTTCTGCGTTTGGCAGGTGATACGCTAATAGTTGAAGAGGATACGTCCAAACCCAAGACTGACTCGCCTGTAGTTGCAAAAAGAACGATGTCCAACTCGGTCAGGGAGGCCGTGCCTGTGCTCGCGAGGAGGGTTGTTCCGGCAGACAACTCCTGTCTCTTCACCAGCGTGTACTATGTGGTGGAGGGGGGCGTTTATGACCCGGGCTGCGCTCCAGAGATGCGCAGCCTTATAGCCCAGATAGTAGCAAGCGATCCTGAATCTTACTGTGAGGCAGTTCTAGGGAAGACTAACAGGGAGTATTGTGACTGGATCAGAAGAGAAGAGACTTGGGGAGGAGCCATCGAAGTGTCCATTTTATCCAAATTCTACCAGTGCGAAATCTGTGTGGTGGACACACAGACAGTCAGAATCGACCGTTTTGGGGAAGACGCCGGTTACAGTAAGCGGGTCCTGTTAATTTATGATGGGATCCATTACGATCCGCTCGAGCGCAAAATCCCCGACTCGGACATTCCTCCCCAGACCATTTTCTCCACAACTGATGATATTGTTCTTGCTCAAGCATTGGAGTTGGCAGATGAAGCCAGACGGAAGAGGCAGTTTACCGACGTGAATCGCTTTACGCTGAGGTGCATGGTGTGCCAGAAGGGACTCACTGGACAAGTGGAAGCCAGAGAACACGCCAAGGAGACCGGACACACCAACTTCGGAGAAGTGTGACGTCTACATGAGGATGGTTACATCGACTACCTCACCGATCCGGAATAAAATTCTGGATTTCCAGATAAGCTGTATGTAATCATAAAATTCCGTTCACAAAGCTTGAAAAGCATATTAACTTAATGATGGCCAAGACGCACAGGTTTGCTACGGTTAGTGACTTTCCCAATGGATTTGAAGTAGGTATCTTCTCGCATGCTGATTTATAGTACTTTGGCAGGTGGTATACACTGGCAGCTAAAACCTGATTTCTCAAATAATCTCTTTGTGTATGTGATCTGAGCAGACACACAAAATCAGGCTTGTTCAACACTAGCGTAAAATCTAGCCTCTAAGTTGCTGAATTAATATCTCTCTATTATGTTTTCAGGGTAATTAAATTAATGTAAGGGTTTGGGAAACACGTATCAGCATTACTTACACTAAGAATTAGACTCTGCACGTACAAGCAGTTCTTGCAGGGGAAACTGCTCATTTGGTGCACAATTTTTAAAGCTGCCCTTTACTATTTTACTATCAGAAGTAGACTGTATTGTTTGTGTGAAGTCATGGCTTTAGAGAAAGAAATGGCCTCTAAGCTTTAAGATAGCCTTCTTTAAATTAATGAGTAGATGGTTAAGTGTTGAATAAACTTACTAATCCTCCGTAGGTAGTTTTTAGTTGCTTGAAAAATAACTATCAACCCCCGGTGTTTACACTGCATCAGAACGTAGGCATGTTTCCTGAAATACTTTGGATTCTTCTTCATAATAGTATCTGAAATTCTGGCAAGACGGGAGTAGAGTAGTTGGGGAAGTGACTTAATTTGCATCTGTTGAATACATTTAAGCAGACTTTACTTGGGTATGGCCAATCTCATGGCCACAGTGTTACTGAGCTGTACCAGATTCCAAATACTGTAAATTAGCACTTTAAGGTATAGTTCTCACTCTTTGCCGATAAAAAGTTTTGCCCTTTTTAGAAGGACAGAGTGCTAACCCAGAAGGGAGGCTAGAAGTTTCTTCATCTTCATTCTGCCTTAACGTGTTCGATTTGTCACCGATGACTGTTCAGCAGGAAGACTTTAATTCTCATAATGAAGGGTGCAGTTTAATTTTCAGAACAAAATAAGCTGCGTAAACTGCCCTACTTCTCGGACTGTTCAGAATCAGGGAAGTTGAAATTGGTTTAATATATCTTACCTCACAGCGGGGTTGTGAGGCTTAACAGTAAGTGCTTTCGAGGTCTTTTAAAAGGTGCTGTAAAGGTGCATATTACTGAAAGGGATTTTTTTTTTTTTCTTTGAAATGCCTGCAAGACATACTTGTTTTATTGAATTTTAAAATATTCTTAGCCTGCTATTCTTCTGTTACTCTGTTTTGAGTTACCTTCCTTGCACTTTTACAAATGGGGAGCAAGAATGTGCATCTTCGGACTGAGGCAGAAATAAACCCACTTTCCAAGTGGAACCTAAGATACAGTTTTAAAGGCCGCCATTCGTTAAGGCATCTGGCTAAACTCCTGGTGCAGCAAAAACTTCTTTTCTATCAAAAGCACGTTTCACTGAAGTTCTCAGCAGAGGCTCCCAGTTGGACCTTGAAATAAGGAGGGTCTTATTGAAGATGGAACATAATTACATAAGTGCTTTGCTGAACTGAGGCATGAATAATTAAGTATAAAGAATAGAATCACCAAGAACGCTAAGGACCAGGTTTCTTTTTAATTCAGTATTAAAATACACATTAGCACTGTTGGGAGTTTCCTATAGAAAGCCACTTAGCTTCCAGTGTTAAACCCCACTTTGCTTTTAGCCTATCATTAGAAAAAAACCCAACAAAACAAAACCCAACATTAAACCCAGCCCTCTAGAAGCTTATAAACCTAAAGAAATACCTGACAGTTCAAAGGAACTTGAAGATTACACTGTGTTATAACTACTTGAGATGAAATACTGTCTAGGAATGAGACCAAGAGACTGTCAATCCTAAGTTGTATTCTCAGCTTTCACACTGCAGCGGTGAGACGCCTTGGACAAGGAGCTGATCCTCACCATTTGCCATCTGTAAAATG